TTATAATGTCAGAAAAAAAGTTGGCAAACTGGATTTTTAAGAAATCATAAAATTAGAATGAAATGAAGATATTTTAGTCAATAAAGAGCAGATTGTTTAAGGAGTATCTATGCAAACCCTGTCTCTTTCTCAGTCAGGGTTCAATGTTTCATATGCAAAAAAATATCAGAGTTCACGGTGATTTTGACAAAACAGTTATGGTACTAACTTTTGCTTGCTCATTTAGTCACCAACAAAATGCAGTTCATGGTTTCAGCTGATAACTATAACTAGCAGAAAAGCTTGCTTCTGTTTAACCCACTTTGCTAAAGGCTAAAAATGTGTTTTATAAAAGGGTTTTGCCTTGAGTATTACCATTAATATAAAAGGGTAGATAATAAATGTATTTCCTAAGCTGAGTTCCATAATGTGAAATGCTAAAATAATAAATTATACACCCATAGGGTCATAAGATAAACAAAGTATGTGGGTATTATAGTTGTTTTACCTTAACTGTGGGAGTTGAATGAGGTTCCACTAAATAAATATGTTTCCCAACTGTAAAAATAATATATGCTCATTGTAAAAAATTAGGAAAACAGAGAAATTTAAAACTAACACTTTATATGCAACTGTGTTCCACTTTTTTCCTCATACATTGAATATCTTATGCCTTTTTCCAAATGCTATGTAATTCTTTGTAAACATCACTTATGGAGTTTCATTTTTATGGTAACTTACAACAACAAGCTAAATGAAAGGTGGTACTTAGAAATATATTAGTCATATTTAAAATTAAATATACTATGTCAAGAAAGAAAGTATATAAATAAAAATAAATAAGTAACCTACTTAAAAAAATATTGGAGTCCAATCTTAGTTCAGCGTCCAAGTTTCCTGAGTCTGAAACACCCATGAAACAGGGATACTGGGTCTGATCAGCTCAGTCCAAAAACTGGTTAGGTTAGTAATGTCCAAGTGCATATTCATCCTGACTCTCAAGTAATCAGGCCAAGGAGCAAAAAATTGAAGCCTAATTTCTTTTTTCTTTTTGATTTTTCCTGTCATGTATCTGGTCCACTGGAGATAAAAGACACATTTAAATCAGTCAGTTTGTCTAAGTTATACAAGCAGAAAAATTATATGACTCTTCATGAGCCCAACTTTCCCCGTTACCAAAATAAACAATCTCACTGTCAACGCACACGCACAAACCTGGGCCTCAGAGTACCTCTTATTGACCTCACCTTCCTTACCTTCAAAATCTATGTGTTCCTCTTAAATCTTAAAGATGTGTCACTTATCCTGTCCATGATTCCGTCTGGTTCTCCCCAGGCATTGGTAGCTGTGGCTGATAATTTCATAACAACTGTTTTTACTTTCCACTGGCAGAGGGTGATGGAGAGGCTAGAGCTGAAGGCTTGAGGGGAGGGGCAGGGACGTGGTAGTGTGAGAGCCTATAGCAATGCTGAGCCCTGTTCATATTTCAGTTTCTGTGATAATCTTCAGTCCCTCCCTCTGTTTCCTGCTGACTGGGATGCTGATTCTCTAAAATCACCATTCTTACCCTTAAATTCTAAAATCTTATGCATCTCAGATCACATCTCATTCCATTCTCCTTTTTTCTAAATTGCCATTCTCCCACTCTGTCATCCAGTTTATGATTATGTCAGTTTCAAATTAAAGATGTATTTCTCTGATTTAAAATTTTATTGTTTGTTAAACCACCAGTTCCTGGGGCTCCTCCACAGCTAACACACAAAATTCACACATTGAAAACTCATGAATGTCATCCTTATTTTTTTTCCTGTGGTTGGAAAGAGTGTGGTGGTCTCATCTTTGGACTAAGAGATCAAAGCAAAAGTAGACACTGTCATTAGTGCCAATATGTTTGTTCTGGTGGAAGAGTTGATGCTGGCTGATTACACTTTCACCCTGAAGAGGGAGATGGGGCAGAAGACTGGGGCCACTGAAGAATTCTTCATCTCTTCATCTCTGGCTATTGCTTGTCACCTATGCCATAGTTCTAGGACAAATTTAAGGACAAAAGAAGTCAGAGTGACTTTAGGAAGACTGGATAACCAAGAAAAAATCTGGACGTGTAAAATGATTCCAGAATTTCAGAGAAGTTCATTTGCCACAAGAACCCTACAAAAGATGTCATCCATGGTTTCATCAAAAGAAGTGCTGCCAAACTTCAGACAATCCGCACTTTGCAATGACACTAAGACGGTTTTCCTACAAAAGGGAAAGATGCCTAACTTATCATAATCTTATTGACAACTCTAGACTGGTTACAGACAGATATCTACGAAAGCTATTGCAACTAAATGAAAAATACTACCCTGAGAAGTACACTCTTATGGTAGAATGAATGGTATCACATGGTTTCCTTGTTGAGCAAGCTTTACCAAGAGTAAAACTCAAATAAATTGTGGGAGAAATGAAGGGTTTGCTGAAGGGAGGGTATAAAAATGTATTTGAGAAATACCACCAACACAGTACCCCTGTGTTCATGTTTTAACTGATAATGGTGATGTGCTAAAGGAGGTTATCCATCAAGCTGGTGTTTACCATCCAACCGTCAGCGTCACAGTCATTTGTGGATTTTGATGAAAATGGGGGCTCAAAGGGTTTTAAAGAGATTTAACTTTTGTGTTTGACAAACCTGATGATGACTTGAAGAATACAGAATAGTTCAGTCAGTTAAAAGACAATAGCAACACTATTCTGCTGAGACTCTCAAAGAGCCTTAGAAATGGCAGATGGAGTAGTCAATGTGGAGCACATTCTGAATATTGGATATTTACATGATAGAGTTTCAGGGATTTTAGAAAAGTACTGCATGGGTGAAAAATGAATCACTGGAGGTAGCTAACTCTGCCTTACTGAGGCTGCTATAAACAAGCATTATTTAGGAAGACCTCTGTCTTATGGGAGCAACTGATGCAAGAATTGTTCATCTCTTCATCTTCCTAAAACACTTTTATTTCTTGCTCTTGAAGTTTTTTCTTCACATTACTTAAGTATTTTCAGACATTGAATCTGGCAGCTGGAAGTTCCTTTTTCTTCACCTCTCTCAGTACACTCCCTGCTCTGTTTTTTAAACAAAGTTAAAATAATCTTAAAGCCAAAATTAAAATAACTCCCTACTCTTCCAAAGTGAGTTTTGTTAATTCTATCACACATTTTTAGATGTCTTTTTACACCTGAAAATTTTCTAGAAGTCTAAAAAGAAGCTTTATGAAATGGTCAAATAATTTGCATGATTTTAAATATTGCCATTGTTGTAATTTGAATAGATCATGCTAATGATATCACCAGTTCCTGAAATTATGTTATGCTTGGTTGTTGCAATTAGAGAGAAAAATTTTTTCTGACCAGGAAAAAAAAAAGCACTCTATATACAGCAAAACCAAAACAAAACAAAACAAAAAAACTTTGGTGTCCACATGTACCTGATCATTACAAAATGTTCTCTATGTACCTACTACTAATAAATAGGAAGTGATAAATTTTTTTAAATACCTGTTTTTCCCAAAGGGATAGCATTTGATCGACTATTTATATCTTAGCATAAATTAATTTGTCATATACTTTCTTACAAGCTGATTTGAAGAGATCAGATATAAAGTCATCCGATCTCTAAATCAAGCTCTAAAAGTAGAAAGTAAAACACACAACATTGGGGGGAAAAGAAAAACTGAACAAACTGTTTTATCATAGTTGCCCCTAGATCCAGGCCTGGTCCCCATATCTTTTTATAGTCGTTCTTTGTCAATCAAGTTCCTGGCCTAATGGCTTAACCTTTAAAAATGGGCATTAAAAAATGGTCAGTCCATCATCTGTAGACCTTCGTGTTCCATCTGGGAGAGAAAAAGAGTCAAGATCATAGGTGCAGATAAGAGAATTACATTAAATATAAGACCATCTCTGGCCCAGTCACACTCGAAGTAGCTGTGTATAATACCACCCTGACCTGCGGGGTGACTGCATGTGGAAGTTGCTATGACAGATTGTCTGGTGAGTCATCCCTAGAAAGTACTGACTTATATCTCTTCCAAAGGATCTGATAACATATCTTTGTCTACAGCTGCAAATGCTATTGATGCTCAGGGAGAAACTAAGAAAAAAGAGGTTAAGGAGTTTCTCAATGTTTGTTTTGTTTTGGTTTTACTTGGGTTTTTTTGGACACACAAGAAAACACTAATCTTCTAAAGTCACTTATGCTAACGTGTTGAATGTATGAGCATACTACTCATGCACCATGATAGTTATTTTACTCTACATCAGTCTCATTATTGGCCTGTTATCAAATACAGATACGTGAAGTTTGCCAAGAAGTGCATTTTTCTTGCCAGAGGTGGAGAACTAAGCAAAATGAGTCAATGGATCTATTTCAAAAGCCATATGTGCTGTCTGAGTCTGCTGCCACCACTCAAGGGGGAGATTTGGCTCTGAAGCAGCAAAAGGACATACCTAGCAGCTAACAGGCCTGTGACCACAGGGGTCTGATAGTTCACTGTTGACACAGTTCAGTCGCACAGTTGAATAAGAATGTCAGCTTACCCACAAGCTGTTTTGTTCCCTCATGTGTTCTACCAAGGTCTTCCAAGTCCAAGTCCAACTGGCACCTTTCCTGGACTAAAGTCCACCATAACACACCTGGGCCTTCATTCTCTCCTATTCCTTCAGCTTGTCTATGGATGGACATAAGAACAATCACAACAAACTCGCTGTGGCTGGAAGAACCTTTCCTAGTGTTTTCCTTTCATTCCTTCTTCCTTCACCTAAGTGGCTAAAATCCAAGCCTTCCCTATTAGAAACATCAAGACTATGAGCGTTCCCTCAACTCCCTCTTTATTTGGGGGCATTCCAGTGTGTCCTGCAGAAAGTTCAATGATGTCACATTAAGTGTGCATCAATATCCCTATTCTCATAATCATTAGATTTAATTAAAGGTCAGGAAGAGAAAAAATCACTCTTATACAGATAATTCTTCCAATATACTCCTCCTTCAGCAGCTTCATGGACGCCCAGTGAAACACACAGTTCATTCCCCTCAGGCGCAGGCTCAACACCTCACGGTGAGTACTGGGGAGGATTTGGGGTCAAGGAAGGTAATGGTCTGCTTCTTCCAGACAGAGAGTGAAGAACAAGGACTGATAAGAACCCAATCTCAGCTAGGTATTTGAAAGCCCATCTTGATAATGAAAATGACAGCAATTGTGACAATGATAATAAATGGAACTAAAATTCTTACCAGACACTGAAAAAACATAGAGACCAAGTCTTAGATTTTGTTTCTCTATTTTATTTCAAAATGAAATTTATATAATAACATTTTTGAACCAATTAAATCCATTAAACATTAATTTTTTTAAATTTTCCATCAGGAAATGAATGATCTGTCAGTATGGATTTGTCTATTTGAATGTTGCAAAGGAATTTTTAAATTTTATTTTTATTGTATTTTTCCATTACTATTTTTCCACCTTTTACCCTTTTCCACCTCCACCCACTCCCCCACCCCTCTGCAATCACAACACTCTGGTCCATGCCCACGAGTGTTTTTTCCTTTTGGTTATTGACCTTTTCAAACAGGTTAGAGTAGGGAGAATCAGTATTTTGTCCTCTTTGACATCCTGAGAGAATAGGGATAGCCCTCATTTTTCTATGATCCCACCTTATGATAGTTTTCCATAATTACTGAAAGTTCTCCTGGCGATTTTTCAGCAGATATTGGTTTGTTTGTGTGCTGTGTAGCTTCTCTTTTTTCCTGTTGCCATTAGATCCTAAGACCTTAGCCTTGCTGTAAATTGCCCTTAATGAACTTTACACATAAAATTTTTGGAGCATTTAAGCCATTCAGTTTGAGCCCTTGCAGATAATCCCCTTTGTCTCCCTAGGAGATGACATCACCAGCACAAGCAAAGCATTTTCAGAAGTCCCCACAACTGCCAATAGATCTACTAAAAATAATTACATCCATATCACTGGTGAGTCATTTCCCATTTGTTGTTTGGATGTTGTATCCTATTCACTCAACAAGTATTTGTTGAGTATCTACCATTTGCCAGATGCTGTGCCAATTGTTGGACATACAGTAAAAACACTGACCTCCAGAAAATGATTATCTGTTAGAAATGATATCTAGTAAATAAGTAATCATACAATAATATTTATTTGTGGCATGCTATGATGTAGCACAAGGTATTGTCAGAGTCTAATGGAAAGATCTGATTTTAATTGGAGAACAGGAAAGGACTCACTGAGAATATATTTCAATTAAAATCTGAAAAATGAATAAGAATTAGCCAGGTGGAAAGTAGTGAGAAACATTGTCAGTCTTGTGAAAATATAGTCTGAGTCATAAAAAGAAATAGTTGGGAAAAAGAGAATTCCTACATTCACCTAATATAATTTTGTGAACGCTAAATATAATCCTTTATGTTACATAAGAGGACAAGGGATTCCATAAAGTTTGGACACCCACCCCTCACTCAATGCAGGTCTTGATTGTAAATTCAGAAGTATAATCAACTTTTCACTTCAGGGGGTATTCACTTGACTGGTGAACTCTTACCCTGGGTGCTCAGCTCATTTCATATGCAATCCTCAGATCATTAGAGCATCATCCTTCACACAGCATGGCAACAGAGTTGCAAACTGAGGTCCTACCTGTGCCTTTAAGACGCTGTTTTCTTCAGGAGCTGCCTGCTTTAGAAATGGGCCGGGACTGGAGCTCTGCTTCTGCCCCGGAGACATGCATGCCGGAAGTCAGTGGTCTCATTTTCTATATTTGGTTTGAAGAAAATTTGTAAACACTGATGTTTACATATCAGTGTAAACACTGATTTAAAACCTTTTGTACTTTTATTTTTCTAAAACGTTGGTAGGTAAAATGTTACATCCCACCATAATATTACTGTAGGGCCTAGTCAATATCAATTTCACTAAAACAGAATGTCGTGCAGTCCTGAGTCAGTAGTCTGTATGATTGTTTCCTTTGTGATCACAGAACTCTAGTGGTTTGAAGTACTCTGAACTCTCTCTAGCCATCTGTCCATACATAGTGCCACGTGGTTTTGTAGGATTGCATGAGCTTCCATCAGTGTCTGTTTCAATGGGGCTGGGGTAGGGTTAGCACCAGGAAAACCTCTGGATGTCTGTTGTAAAAAGAAAAGTCTTCCACACTGAGAAGCAATACTAACATGGCAACATATGTGGCTGCAAAGAGAAGACTTGGTACCTAATATTTTTAAATCCGGCTTTTTTGCCTGTGTCTTTTTTTTTTGAGACTTTGCTGAGTGAAAAGCAATATAATAAATATAGGCAATAAAAGAAATTAAAAACCTAGTCTCCACCTGCAAGCAGTTTATACCATAAATAATAAAAGAAAATCAATCCAGATAATTCTGATATAATATGCACCATTTGCCCAAGTGATCTATGCAAGCTAACGAGCTAAAGATGTATCTGTAATGTACAAGGAATTTCACTGGAGTGCTGTTAGAAATAACAGAAGCCTGGAAACAATTCAACCATCTAACATTAAGAGACCAATTAAATAAACTACGGTAGAGCCACACATTGGGGAACTAGCCAGGATTTTAATTGAATGTGGTAAATTTCTATGTACTTTTTGAAAACTATTCCAAGAATGTTTTTTAAAAGAAAAAAAACAGGGAACAGATAGAATAGTATGCCTAGTATGTTCCCATTTGTAATATACATGTTTATGTATGCATAGAAAATTTCTGGCAGGATATGTAATTAACTACTGAATGTCATTGCCTTAGTGTGGGTAACTGGCACCTGAGGTATTAAGAGCACTTCCTTTTCTTTTTTTAAAGATTTTTATTTATTTCTTTTCAGAGAAAGGGAGGGAGAAAGAGAGGGAGAAAAACATCAATGTTTAGGGACCTGGCCTGCAACCCAGGCATGTGCCCTGACTAGGAATTGCACTGGTGACCCTTTGGTTCGCAGGGTGGTGCTCAGTCCACTGAACCACACCAGCCAGAAAAAAAGCACTTTCTTTTCATTGTAATTTTATATTTGTGTGCTTTTCGAATTTTTAACACGATCATAATCTACTTTTTGAAAAGGAAATGCTTTTATTTACTGCTAGGTAGAACCAGGCACCCTCATTTACTAAAAAGTAAAATCATCCAGAATATAATATTTATTTTACTGCTGGTCTAAAATCTATAATATTTGAAAGTCTTTTTGATTCATGCAGTTTGATTTAGTGTTCAAATGTTAAAAATGTAATAAATTAGTTGAGTATGGGTGTAGTTATCATGGATGAGAAAAATCAGCCCATTGGCTCTTCACAAATATAATTTTAGCCAGTCTCTTATTTACTTCAACTTTCTCCCTTTTCGGACCATAGAAACAGCAAAACCAACTGGTTTCCATTCTACCCCTTTTGTTCCTTCTCCTCTTTCTATTTCTGAAAGAAAGAAAAAGAGGGAAGTTGATAGAAAAGGTTTGGAGAATCTCTACCCTGGATACGATTCCTTGAGTGACAAATGAGAAGTCCTGGAACATAGCCTTCGCAGCCCTGTAACTTCATAGGGATTGGCCTGGCCTCTCCAGCTTTGGCTCTTCAGGGCTTTGGAACGTTATGATGCTTTTTTCTCCTCCTGCCACACATGCTTCCATAAGGTATTTAGTGAGTCCTTTGAGAATAAGAAGATCCAATGCCAGACCATTGTTTTACAAGTAAAGTTTCCTTCACTGGAGTAAATTTGGAGAACAAATGTATAGGTTATCATTTTCATTTATTCATTCCTGCAAATAACATTTCATCAGGCACTGTATGTCAGGAATTGTCTGGGGCCTTGGGAAAATATCAGTTATAGAACATTCGAACAAGGAAGACATCTGCGCCCTGGCTTGTGTGGCTCAGTGGAGTGGGCGCCCGCCTGTGAACCAGAGGACTGCAATTCGATTCCCAGTCAGGGCACATGCCTGGGTTGCAGGCCAGTTCTCAGCAGGGGATGTGCAATAGGCAACCACACATTGATATGTCTCTCTTTCTCTTCTTCCCTTCTCCTCTAAAGATAAATAAATAAAATCTTTAAAAAAAGAAAGACATTCATGTAAAAATATAATAATGTAAATGCTGGACTAGAAATTAGAACAAGGCACAGATATGATCCCAGAGCAGGACTATGGTCAAGGACTATTCTATGGCCCTCGCATAAAATAGGTGTCGGGTAGGAGAAATAGTGCAATTAATTCTGGTTTCCAGTAGCCCAAGTTTGGCATTAATATTCCTCTCTCTTTATGCCCTTTTCAGATATTGTGGCTAATAAGCCCAAAGATGGAATGTCCTGGCCAGTGATTGTATCGGCTTTGCTCTTTTTCTGCCTGGTACTGTTTGGTCTGGGAATGAGAAAGTGGTGTCAGTACCAACAGGAAATGTGAGTATGACGCTACGACACGGAGAAACAGATACTTCCATGTGCATTGTTCACTCAGCACGGCAAACATTCCTACATCGATTGAGTCCCCTCTCATATTTAACTCAGGAAATAAGCCTCAGAGAGGCTGGGCAGCTTTCCCAGCACCACACAGCTGGGATTAGATGCACAGCGTCTGAGTTGGTACCTACCCTCTCTGCCCACTCCGGCTGGAACACTACACTCAGCAGGCGGAACTAGTCCCTGGGCAGGAGTCAAAAACCAAGCCTCCCCTTACTTCAAAATTGAAAATGATTTTTCTTTTAATCTTCATTATTTTTTCATTTTCATGCATCTCTGAACTGCCTAGGCCTAGCCAGGCCTAGATGCTCAAGTGTGAAATTGAGTGAGAAAGGTAATTTAAAGAAATTTCCAGCTGCTTTGCAGCAAAATGAGTTCTTACTGCCCTTGTCCCTTTTCTCCAAGGGGAACAGAAAGTAAGCAGTCAGTTTCCCCTTCTTTGTCTTATTGAAACATGTTCCAGAACTATTCTCCCTCCCATCAACAATCTGAAACGACATGTTAGGTCATGCCTCACTTTTCCGACTTGGTTATTTTGGATCAGCCCAGATTAGGCCATGATTAGAGGGGACCTTTGTAATACATAGGGCTGATCTTCCATGTATCTTACGACTACTACTGAAGGTAACATTGAGCGTTGCTCAATACTTTACCCTATTTGAGAGTATCCTTGAAGACTCTATACTCATGTGTAGAGAATTTCGTGGTAAATGAAGGACTAAACCAGTGGTCAGAAATTGTGGATTCTTATCCAAGTAGTCTACTTTGGCCACCATATGATTTTGAGAAATTCATAATTTACCTGAAAAAATGGATGTGCAATTTTTTTAGAATATTATATCTACTTTCTGATAAATACTGTTTCCACTAAAGCATCAGAAAACCAGATAATAGGCATTAGGAATTTATATATTAGAATGAGAAAACGGGAGTCTGATCATATGAAACGATTTTCTGTGGTTATTCTGTAGTCAAATGTCTATATTGTATAGAGATGAGAAACAATCTCTTGATAAATGTGTGTGAGAGAGAGACGTGGAGAAGGTAAGGTGCTATGGACTGATACAGAAGAGGTGGAGGTGTTTGCATCATGGACACAAATCTGCTCACAGATATATTTCTGTTTTCTAATATCAAGAGGAGTGGAGCAGTTGTGTATCTGAATCCCACCTGTATACTTGAGTGTACACCTATACCTGCCTATATACTCGCCTGTATACTTGAGGCATTTCAGACAAGAGATGAGTTATATACCAGAGAACAGTACTTTTTATGCAAAGATGATATTAAGAATGTTCACTGGCTCCAAGAGAAGAGGTTCTGGCATTATCTATCCAGTACCAGCCAACTCAGGGACTCAGAAGAGTTTCACTCCCCACCTCGAGCAGATCCCCGCGGCACACAGTGAGTGCGTGGGTGAAGTCTGGGGTATGGCTGGCAGAGGAAACGTTTCAGTCTTCGGCCCAAGAATTTTAAAAGCTTGTCTGGAGGAGTGTTTTAACCCACATAAGAGAAACACTTCTACTAAGAAGCAGTTGCCATGGAGAGTACAGGTTTTAGTTAAAAGACTTGAATTGCTGTCTGGTTCTGTAGGGCAAGTTGCTTAAAACCTTTGTGCCTCATTTTGTGGAATGGTGACAGTAACATTCCATCTCTAGATACATATTAAGTAATGTTATGATAAAAATGCTTTGAAAACTATAAAATTACCATATAAATATTCATTAAAGATATTGTCATGATAAAACTAACAAGCAGAAGGTTATACCAAGACAATGCTGAGGGAGCTAGTGAGGTAAGTCTCTTCTTCTTTCTCTGTTTTCTACTGTAAAAGAATATATATCAGATATGATGCATATGATATATCACATATGTGATATATATGACATATGTGTATAAATTTATCACTCCTCACATTCTTTCACATTCTTAGTACTGAATGAACAATGCTTTCTTCCTAGCATGGAAAGACCCCCACCTTTCAAGCCACCACCGCCTCCCATCAGGTACACTTGCATTCAGGAGTCCATTGGAAGTGATCTGCCCTGTCACGAAATGGAAACACTCTAGTTCTTTGAGACTTTGCCATACAATGAAACTCTGGTAGAATCCTATTGAGAAGGTCAATATTTTGCTTTATTAAATATTTGCCCCCAACCAAGCCTCTCCTACAGCTGCAGTGGGTGTCAGAAGAGAATGACCTGCTTTCCCAGCAACTTGTCCCCTTTCAGCTGCATATGCCTTTAAAGAAGAGTGCGAGGGTATGTTTGCTGATACTCAATGCAATCTGTAGGAATGTTCTTGCTTATGTAAGAAGTGTGAATTAGGCTGCTGCCATTAAAAATACTTGCAGTGTTTTTATTCTTCATTTTAATTATCTGACTACAGTGACAACAAGGGTTTCAAGCATATGTTCGTACCAGACCTTTTTCTCTATGGGCATCTGCCAACTTTCTAAACTACTTGCCAAAAACATGATAATCTCTGAGGTTTGTCGCATTCCCTAAGAACATAAAGCTCTAGCAAGAGTTCCAAATAATGGGAAAGTGCCATTTGTCTTTATATTGAAATTCGGCTGTTTACTTTCACCAGAGGGAAACAGAATATCCTTCGCAAGAACCCCAGTTCCAATCCTTGTTTACCTTTTCTCCCATTATGTTCAGCCCAGGATCCTGACCCATGGGACGGGGAAGGATCGAAGAGACAACTAGCAACAACCAAGTAGCCTAATAAATACAACCTTTAACTGTCTTCTAAAATTACATGAACTAAGAGTGATCTCATTCTCAGTTTTACCTCTGTATGTGTGCATGTGTGTGTGTGTGTGTGTGTGTGTGTCAAACCATTGGCAAACTGTTATATAAGTAAATGGACAGCCCAACGCTAATCCAACTCACTTAATTCCCTTTATTCTCTTTTTCATTGGGGACTTTGCTGTTCATTCAGTGTTCCTGTTCTGATATGTCTTAAAACAAATAAAGAGCCTCAAGTCAGACTAGCATTGATGAGTTAACCCTGCTCCTACCAATCTTTTATAAAACATTTCAAACAGAGCATATAGGTGGTAGAGAAAGAAGCCTCATCAGCCTGACCAGCTCTGGATCCAGCAACAGTTTGTGAGTGAATAAATTACTGATGGCCCTTGTTCCTCTAAACCTTGCCACACACCTCTGCCCCAGGAGGGAAGAACAGAGGTTGCTGACACCAAATTCTGTCTGAATTTTAGTCCCAAGAGGAACCTTTACTTAATTTTCAGTGTACTTATCCCTGACTACACATGAGAATAACATGGAGAACTTTTTTGATAGTATGTCTGTACCTCCTGATCAACTTAATCAGAATCTCCATCAGGTTAGGCCCAGACACACGCACTCACAGAGTCAAGTATTCAATCAAAGTTGAAAACTGCTGAATGAGAGGTAGTCCCTTCTCATTGATTAAAATCTCAGTTAAGTGCTTAATTCTTGTGGTGGCCAGCCTCCAAGATGTCCCCTATGATTCTTGCTTTTTATGTAGTCCCCTCTGACTCTGAGTACAGCTGACATGTACAGCTGGTCAGGACTAGATTAAGGCAAACAAGGCAGCAAAGGTGTAAACTTTAAGGACATATTTACACTCAGGGTCATACACTTACACAATCTTATGAGTGAGTACAAGTCCTAGGGCTGGTATAACCAATAAAATATTGCAGAAATGACCAGAGTGTGATTTCCAAGACTAAGTCATAAAATATTGTAGCTTCTGCTTTGATCTCTTTTTGACTACTTGTTCTGGAACAAGTCAGTTGCTATGCTGTAAGGACACCTAAGAAGCCCTATTGAGAAGCCCACCTGTCAAAGAACTGAGGTCTCTTGCTAACAGCAAGTATCATCTAGCCAGCCATGTGAGGCATCTTGGAAGCAGCTTCCCCAGCACCCACTCAAGTCTTCAGACAACTGTACCTGCATTTGATCTTTCGACTGGGACCTCATGGGATCCAGAACCATCCAGCTCAGCCTCCTCTGAATTCCTGACCCACAGACACTATGTGAGATCATTAATACTTCTGATATAGCCCAATGAGTGGAAAAAATAAACTAATGCTTGCCAGCCTGCTTTAACTACCCTCAATTTCTTATTAGTTCTCAAGAAACAAATAGACTCACTTTTTAATATATGACTATTGCTTCATGAGTAGTTAGTTTTATTTAACACAACTTAATCATCTGGAGCTTGTATAATCATTGTGGACGTATTGGAGTAAAAAGTGGCAGAGCTGAAGGATGTTTAGATTACTTCAATAAAGGGATAGACACTTTTACATGCATAAGTACAACATAAGTCATGTGATTTTTTAATCTATCATATAACAGGTGCCTCACAATGTTTTTGCATTAGCTCCTTTTTGAAGCAACATTCTTTTGCTTTTATAAATAAGTCCTCATCAGCATTTGCAAAATCATCTCCAACTCGATTGGAGTGAGCAGGTGCTTTCCCATGGAGGAATACGCAGTCAGTGGTTCAGAGGAATTTTTTACAAACTTGCAAATTAAAGGAGCTCTCAATGCTTTTCAGGCAGTGCTATGATCTTGACCTCCCTCATTTGTCTACAATGACATTTTTACCTGCAACTTAAAATTGTGTGCAAGTAAGTCCATAATGTCTGTCTCAAAGCAGCAACTCCTCTCTAGAAATGCATTCAGTTAGGTCCACAGCAGGAGAAGTAGTTAGCAGTAGACTCTAATCCTTAAGGTTTCTACATGTCTTCATCACTGCCTTTATTTTCACTGAAAAGAAGACAGATATAAGTATTTCCATCACTCATTTTCAAAGCACAGAGTGTTAGACTGTTCAGAACTCTTCATTTTTTTATCTACCCACCTCATGAACATCCCTTGACTTTGGGCTTGGCCATGTGATTTACTTTGGACAATGGAATATCATGCATATGATCTACCCACAGTTCGGACAGTGTTCCTATGATTGAAAATACTCTCATTCTCTGCCATTACCCTAAGAACATTTTCAGATTAGCCTGCTAACCCCAGGAAGATGAGAGACTCATGGAGAAGAGCAGAACTACACAAGCCATGCTCAATTTAAATCAACCAACATCCAGTCTACTGCAAAAATGCACAGATTAAATATGGTTGCATGCCACTGAAATTGTGAGATTGTTACACAGCATTGTTATAGCAATAGTTAACCTATACACCGAAGTCCAGAGGTAGGCATATTTTTGCTCAGGTGAAAATGCCTAAGATAAATTATTAAATATGTGTGTGCCTTACTCAAAAACAGTGTTTTCCTTGATTCAGCATAAATTTTGTTTCAACTAAAGAGCATCTGGTTGGCCTAATCAAGGTCACTTTACAATATAGATCTTTAAAATTATAAAACATTTAACCAGGATGTGCATTACAGGTCACATTACGAATAAGGAGTTAGAGTCTCTGTGAAATTGATTTGCCCAAGGTCACATAATTAGAATTGATAGAATTGATAGAGCTAAAGTGAGGACGCAGCTCTCTGATTTCCAGTCCAGAGTGTGATAAATCTTCATTATATCATGATATTTAATTGCTTTTGTATCTCATCCTACTACAAATCAGAGCTGTTTTGTGTGAATTTAAGTAAATATTGATTTTTTTCATGCACAGGCTGTATGTTCCCAAAACTGTTGACATAAAATAAAAGAAAAAGTAGAAATAATTGAGCCCTAGAGGTAGGCTGGTCAAGAAAGTGTGGAAAAAAATTACTATAAAAAGAAAAGAGAAAAGGGAATAATCAAGGTCAGAAGCCAGAAAGAAAGTTTAGAGAAACTGATTAAGGGCAGAGATAATGAAATTGACTTTGCCTCAGAGGCTCCAAGCAGAAGAGGTCCGGGAAGGCAGCCCTCTTGGAACTCCAACTTCGGAGTGTGGCTTTGGCTTGAACTTGAAGGTTAAATCTGCAGAAATACAGAAACCTTATTCTCCAAGGGCTGATATACATAGCTTGAATTTTTGACAACAGCAGTATTTGCTGTGTCAACTAGCTGAAGCTTGGGTATCCAGCAGAGAGACAGCTGAAGTGGTGAATGAAAGTTCCCACTATTGGAGAAAAAGACATCAACTGGCAGAAATGGGCTTGTGTTCCAGCCAGAAACACATGGTGAGTTGGTGGGAACAGAGTATTTATATTTCCCAGCTCCTGCAAATGAAGCTTTTTCCCCCAGATTCTGTGATTACTACTAGCTCTCCACACCACAACCAGGAAGACGTAACCAGAGAGCAGAGAGCAGGACAATATGACATTAGACAAGGTCAGAGCCAGGGAACACTTTTGAAATTAAACCCTGTTCAGTGCTTCTGTAATGAGCCTTGACCTTGGTTGGGTACAAATTAACATTTGAATGAGAACAAGAGAATCTGAACTTTTCTCCCCAACCAACATCTTTGTACCTTTCTAACTACTATTATAGTCTTTGCCTGATCTGCTCACTCAGATCCCTCATGTTTGCTCAAAGGCTCTGTAAGGTCATGATTGTATGGCAGGACACTGAGGACAATAAAGGGGAAGAGTAACAAACCCAGGATCACAACAGAAAGGAGGGAACGTGGACAGGGCTGCATCCAGGGCTACCCTTGGTGAATGCTGGGAACATGCACATTTGCCCTGAGATCTGTCAGAGGGTGCTCTAATTTGTCTTTAAAAAGTCACACCATCAAATAAAACTGAGTACAGTATTATGCCATTCAGCTATTGTCAGAAAATACTCAAAACTGCTGAGAAGGCAAAGTGGAGGGGATGAAACAACAGTTACATGAACCATGAAGAGAAATTTGATAGTGGCACTGAAAACCCAAGAACCGTATATGAGAGTTACCCTCTCTATTCCGCACTTTCTCTCTTCAAGACAGAAATATCTGGTAATGTTAAACAAGAAGAGAAATGGAGATTCGAGAGTTCCATATGTAGTAAAACTGTTACCAAACAAAAAAAGCCAAACTTGTGAGGCAGTTGGTGGCGAAAAAGAAAAAGTTTTATTCAGATGCTGTACAATCTGGGAGAATGGCAGACTCCCTGTCTGAAAGCCCATTTATCACACAAGATCCAGACAAAGTCCAATGGTACTAGTAAGACCAAAACAGAAGCCAGTGCCCTGTGCTCCTGCTCCATTTTACAGTAGCATCCTTTGGGCCCCACAGGCAGCTGCTAAGTGGTCAGCCAGGTAGCTTTGGTTGTTCCTGGCTGCTGCCCATTTCCAGATCCCTGCTGGAGGCTGTGGGTCATGCAGATGCAAAGTCCACAAGGCTGCATGCTCTGAGGAGAGAGCCCAGGACTGCACCGGCTCATTCTTCACCAGGTTGGCAAAAGAGAGAGAAATAACATTCCCTCCTGGAATCCATGGGCCATGTGGCTGCTCAGGCCACCCATGGCCCATGAAGAGAACAGGTGAAAACACCGTGCAAGTGCAGGTCCCAAAAAGGAGGGCCAAGCGAGAGTGCATTTCTTTCTCCCCCTCAGTTTATATTAGCTTGGGTGAGGGACAGACCAGGTGCTTGCTCAAAATGACCAATCAACCTCTCAAACTTTCATACACTTCAGGTGGGTCCACCTCCCAATCAATCCCTTCTTTCCCCAGGCCAGGCTGACAGGCCTCTTTGGTCTAGCACCTCTCCCTGTACCACTTTGACTTCTATGGTGCCTGTGCCTGCCACCCCTGGTCCCACCCCAATCCAGTACTGGAAGGGGGAAGGAGGGCTTTTTCCTCTAACCAATTATCTTGCTAGCCTTGGGCATGTTCAGTGTAAGAACCTCCCCATGCTGCCATCTTGGGGACAGAAGGTATGCCTCTGGTGCTCTGTCAGCTCCCTGCTGCGGGCAGAGTGTCCACAAGTCACATGTTTTGCTACCCCGGGCAACACGGCCTCATGCATCACAGAAGTGCAGGCTGACACGGTGCTGAAAAACTTGATGTCCTCCCCATGACATCCAGTGGTTCCCAGAGGCATTCTTTGACCAGCTGCACACCCTCAGTCCTTGAACCTCTGACCTCCATCTACGGATAACAGAACTATTTTGCACCACTAGGTTGGGTTGCATCGGAGTTTTCTTATATATAAAGCTGTTGCACTGGTACAGAGGAACATGCTTTGATGCCTAAGAGATCTGAATCTAACATAATTATAAATAGGAATTAATTCTACTGTCTGTGACTAGTTAATGGAAAAGTACAACAAGCACTGCTCCCAGTAACTCTTTTGGATGGCCAGTTTAGGGTTTTTAGATTTCACTCAAGAAACTGATATAAAAAGTATTTAAGAACCACTGTAGGCCCTCAGTGACTATAAAGTGTAATGGGAGCAACAGACTTTTAAACAAATAAACACAGTACAGGCCAAAACATATGAAAATAAAAGCATATACAAAAAAGAGAAAAGAATAAAGAAGAGGGCATTATTCTTGAGACAGAGTGTGAGAAATAGTTTTAAATGGCTTCAAAGAGGAGACCATCAGTAGAGGTAGAGGCAATGCAATAGAGACCCTGACATCTGGGACACAGTGATAGGACTTGAAAACCTCACCTAAGGATTACACTAGGAATACAAGGATGGCTCAATAATAGAAAGTACATGAATATAATGTACTATATATATAGTGGTCAAGAGGGAAAAATGTAAGATTAGTTCCCATAGATACTTTGAAAGCATTTGGTAAAATTCAACACCCATTCCTAACAGAACCTCTTGAGAAAATGGAATATTTCTTTATATGTGTATATATATGCATATATATATGTGTGTGTGTGTACATATCAATATCTATCGCTATTTAAATAGTCATACATCCATATGTATATACATATACTATTATTTAGTGTATAGATATTATAACTATGTAGCTATATGTATATATAACTATACATAACCATATGTATGTCTGCTCAGAAGATATCCAGCCATATGCTATGAAAAATAGAGATATTTATTGAAAAGATACAAGATACGAGCAACATTGTATATAGGGCAATGACCCTTCGGTCCCCTTCACATTAGGCACCTTGGGACCTCACACAGTTCTCCAATCACCATCAGCTGCCCGATATTTTTTAAATTGATTAATTTGCTTC